GGTTTGAACCACCAGCCTTCTGGTTTGCAGTCAAATGTCTTAGACACTATGCTCCCAGAGCTCCTGAAATATAAAATAGAAGTGGTAAATCTTTATGGAATTAGGTTGCCCAGTCTTCCTTCCATGGAATGGCTGGTGGGTTTGAACCACCAACCTTCTGGTTAGCAGTCAAATGCCTTAACCACTATGCCACCTGTTGTTGTTGTTGTTATGTGCCATTGAGTCAGACCCAACTCATAGCGATCTCTCCTTAGGTTTCTGAGGTGGTATCACTATGGAAGTAGATTGCCCAACCTTCCTTCCGAGGAGTGGCTGGTGGGTTTGAACCACCAGCCTTCTGGTTAGCAGTCAAGTGCCTTTAGGCACTATGCCATCAGAACTCCCACTATGCCACCAGAGATCCTTAAATAAGTAAGTCAGAAAATTGAGGTCGGCGGGGTACCCTCTGCTGCATACATTTCAATATGCACTGTTCATGATTTTATCCAAACCCCCTACCACTGAGTTGATTCCAACTCAGTGCCCATAGAGGACAGAGTAGAACTGTCCACAGGGTGTCCAAGGCTGTGATCTTCCTCGCACAGGATGGCCAGCAGGTTGGCACAGCCAGCCGTTTGGTTAGCAGCCAGTGCTTGGCCACGGTGTTGCCAGAGCTCCTTTTCATGGTTGAAGAGAGTCACCAAACTCTTTGGTGGGCCGTCCTAAAAATATCCAAGCATCCCATTCCTATTCAATGCGTCTTCATGAATCGCTTGTCTCTTGCTCCCCTGACTGAATGGTAACATTTTCCATAATAAAAATACATTATTTTCTTTCAGAAAAATATTAAGTACCAGTTATTTCATTTAAGATGTATATCTAAAGAGATAAGAGTAATCTAAAATATCTTCTAAAGCTTTCCAAAAACCCAAACCAAACTCACTGTTGTCGAGTCAGACTCAACTCATAGCGACCCCTCCTTGGGTTTCCGAGGTGGTATTACTAGGAAAGTAGATTGCCCAACCTTCCTTCCAAGGAGTGGCTGGTGGGTTTGAACCACCAGCCTTCTGGTTAGCAGTCAAGTGCCTTAGGCACTATGCCACCAGAGCTCCCTCTAAAGTCTTATTGTTGTTGTTGTTGTTATGTCTTACTATCCTTGAAATGTTACTAATTTGCTCTAAGTAAGGAATTTGAATACTGTAGCAGTCTATTTATTCTAATTTACCTTGGTAAAATCACCTTTTTCTCCATGAAGTGGCCTTCTAATATTTGCTCTAGATTTAGACATGATCTAGATACATTTATATCTTAATATTTACATTATATCCATATTTGCATAAAACTGAGATTGAAAGTTTGGTTGCTTTATAGTTTGAAATGTTCTTGAACTATTTGGGGAACCCTACAAGGAATAGTTTCCCAATAATTTTGATAACTGTTTTGAGGATGAACATTTATTCAGTAGTGTTTATAAATCATTTTTATGTTAATATGAATTTTTTAAAAGTTGAGTTTATTTTAATTTTTCAAACTATTTGATTTAATTTAGTGTAATTTCAAAATACTGACATTTGACTTCTTAACATGAACTACTAAATTTATAAATTTTAAAATCTACATCTTTCTCAAATTTTCAAGTGTACATTTTTAATATATGATTCTATTTATAAATAAAATAATACTCAACATTATATTAAGGAATCAGTTGATCACTGTGCTCTGTTGTGCTCTGTTGACTAGATGTGGATTCAGGGCAGCCCCATGGTTCGGAGTAGGACTGCACGCCCTGCGGTTTTCTGTAGCTGTGATTTTACTGGAAGTCGACTGCCAGGCCTTTTTCACTCTCTACCTTTTCTGTTAGTGGTTGGGAACTTGCCTGTCTGCACCACCCAGGGACTCTGTAGGCTCGATTACCCGACATTAATTAGTTTCTTTTAATAACATACTTTAATAATGTGTTCTATTTCCTCTTTGTGTTTGTCCATTGCTAACAAAATAAAGTGTTTCCAAGTAATTAAATACTCATATAAATCTAATAAGCTAAAACTATAAATATGGCTATTCTTATCTTCAATATTCTAATGAAGTTATAGACTTAGAGCAATTTTATCATAGTTTTCTAGAAACTTCGAAGTCTAAGTCGATACCAAATTCCCCCAAAATATTCAAATATGCCTTATCATCTAAAACTTTACAAGTATTCAAATGACAAATGAAAAATATTTAATGTATTTTAATGTAAAATGACCAATGCATATTCTTTCTAAGTTTAGCACAAAATACTAATATTTGCTGATTGTTTCTATGCTTAATTGTACTCTTTTTGACACATCCTAAAGAGAGACACCAGGGAGCTCTGGTGGCATAGTGCCTAAGGCACTTGACCACTAACCAGAAGGCTGGTGGTTCAAATCCACCAGCCACTCCTCAGAAGGAAGTTTGGGCAATCTACTTCCGTAGGGATACTGCCTCGGAAACCCAAGCAGGGGTTGCCATGAGTCAGGTCCAACTCCACGGCACATAACAACAACAACAAAAAAAAGAAACACCAAGGCCAAAAACTGCATCATAGTTGACTAGATTTCGTTACCTCTCAGAAATGTTTTTCTGAGTTTTAAAGCTGGAGTTGAAGACATTGACAGGCTATATTCTTAAGATCCAGACTTCTACATCATGACTTTTTGTTCCTTCGCATTTGTTCGATATATTTGCTGTGCTAAGAATAGGGGATTCTTAATCAAAGTCATATAAATAGTGCTGCTTTTGCAGCCTGAGTCCTTTGAGTTGAAGCTAAGCCCTTAACTAATGTTGTTTGTCTCCTCTTTCAATGTTTTGGATGATGGTATGAAATTATGTAACTTTTTAATTGACAGCTTAATTCTGATTGGTTAAATTAGTTTATTTACTTGGCTAATTCTGTTTTGAATTATTTTCCTAGTGTTGCTACCTGGACTAGTTGTGACTTTTATAAATATGTTGATATTCCCTTTTGATTCTGCATATATTTTCTGGTGCTGTGAATTTTTCTAAGCTTTTCTAAAGACATTTCACATCATAAAAATAGATTCATGTGTGCATATCAGTTAACTGTAGCTACAATAAGGCTCTCCAACCAAAGAGGTCTCAGTGGCATATAGCCATCAGCATTTATTTAGCTGGATTCTGGGAGCCAGCTACAGACTGACTGATGGAGGCTGGGCTCTGCAGGAGAGACTTGGTTATGCCCCAGGTTTCTCATTCTGTCACAAAACAGTGGGCCAGCACCTGCAGGTACTTCTTATCGTCCTGTAAGAGCCAGCCCAGTTGCATAAACACTTTTTAAGCCTCTGCACCCACTAGCATTCCACTGGTAATGTCAGATATGCTTTCTATATCCCAAGTCCCTGCAGATGATAATTTTACCATATGCTGAGCCACTAAATAACAGACCACGATAGTCCAGCTTCTGAGAAGTTTTACCACCATTTCCACCCTTTGTCCACCATATGGGTGCCAACTGAAGTCTCTAGACTATTCCTTTTGTTACTGATGCACCTCACTTTTAGTTATCAATTTTCTCATGAACAAAAAGGCACAGCAACATGAAATTCACTGACTCAAAACAACCACGATTTGCACTGCACCTGTGGATGCAAAGGGGCTGCAGTCAGCCATCTCTCTAGGCTCAGCTGGGTGGCTCTGTTTCAAGCTAAGGATCTCACAGAGCTCAGATCCTTGGTAAAGATGAATAAGATCTGCTCCAGGTGTCTTCTGGAGCAGCCGCTTCCTGAGGAAACTCTTCCCACATGATGGCAGAAGCATCCAGGAAGAAGCTCGACCCACAGTCATTTGTCAGTCTCTGCTTGTGTCACAGCTGCTAGGATCCTGTTGCCAAGGCCTAGAACTGGGGAATGGGGAAATCAGCTCTCTCCAGAAGGAGAGGAAAAAGAAGGTGCATGTCTGAACCGTAATCTGCTCTGCCACGCAGCTGAGGCTAAGCTGGTTGGAAATGTCAGTATTTTCTTATTACAGTCACAAATTAAACAATTATTCTTCCTGACTCATTCTAACGAATGTCATGGGTATAGAGGGGGGAAAAGCAATGATTGAGATATTAAAGAGTCAGATTTGGTCCCCATTGCCATTTGTTCTAAAAATTATGAAGTGAATTTCTATTAGTTTGAATATAGAAAAAACATTCTGGTGAAATTGTCCCATGACTCAAATTTCAGCCAATGTAGACATAGACCTATGAGGTGAACAGTTACACTGGAAGGGTAGCACTCATTAGAACAACAGACCATATGAGATCAAGAGGATAGCTTTGTCTGGAGATGTAGCAAGGAGGTGAGAGAGGGATGGGAATGAAGGACGAATGGAAGGAGTGTTTGTGGGGAGGAAGAGGGAAGAGTGCTGTTGCATTGTGGGATTGCAGTGAATGTCACCAAACAAAGTGTATGGATTGCTGAATGGAAAACCAATTTTCTCTGTAAACTTTCATTCAAATCACAATTTAAAAAATGGTTTGAAAGATAAAAAAATTACAAATATTTAAAAATTAGTTTTATAATCCTAATAAATGATTAATCTTTTAAGATACTAAGTGAGCTCTTTGTCATTCTCTGTCATTTCAAAGGTTTTTTAATTCATGTACAGTCAAGATATAAAGACCAAAAAAAAAAAAAAAGTTAAAATTAGAAACATGTAATCTCCTCTTCATAAGGAAACAGTGTGAATAATAGGTATTAGAGAGAAATGTATGAATAATATATGAGAAAGCAGACAGAAAGCCAATTACTGTGATACTGGCAAAACCAAATTAAATATGTTCAGTCTACTGTAGAGTTAATTGACAGAATAACAAGTTAAACCAGGTTTTATTGAATATTTATAATTTTTAATAAATTAGAACACCTTTTCTCTCATTACAATCATACACAAATATCAAACATTAGGAAAATAAAAAAGCTAAAATTGAGTAGATTTATGAATTACTTTTACATTATAAATCTCATCTTTCTTTTAATTCTCCACTAATTTAGAATGCGCTCATCTTTGGAAAAGGAAATAGAACGACTGGAATCAGCTTTGTCTCTGTGGAAATGGAAGTATGAGGAACTGAGAGATTTGAAGCCACAAAATGCCAAAGAGGTATGGAGACGGAAGATGGCAATGAAGGAAGGGAGCAAGGCGTTTTGTCTGTTTGAACTTGTAACACAGTGGGCTGAGTGCTCTCAGCAAGATGAGGGTTGGTAAGAAAACTGGGTTTCCTATGAAATGAATATTTGAACCCACATACCAGTAGTGGACATTGGCAAACTCAGGCCATGAGACAGCTTGTTCTGAATGACACATATTTTAATGATCAACCTAACCAAACCCAAACCCAACCCACTGCCATCGAGTTAATTCCAACTCACAGTGCCCTAGAGGACAGCATAGAACTGCCCCATAGGGTTTGCAAGGCTGTAAATGTTTACAGAAGCTAACTGCCTCATCTTGCTTCTGAAGAGTTTCTGGTAGGTTCAAACTGCTGACCTTTTTGGTTAGCAACTGAGGGCTTAACCACCATGCCACCGGGCTCCTTATCATGTGGTATAGATGGTGTTATTTTATTCTTTTTGAGGCATTCTGAAAATATCAACTTATCAATTGAGGTTCTTTTCATAGTTGACAGCCTAGTTATTCAGGACCAGCTACTTGCCTTTATAGGGTCCTTTACATCCTCATCAATAAAATGACACCTTTAAAAATATTGTTCATTGTATGAAACATTGAGCTAGCTAAGTATGTGGGATATAATAATGAACAGGACAAGGTAAAAGGGAGGGACCTCTGTTTGTGTGGTGCCTAAGGCATTTGACTGCTAACCAGAAAGCTGGTGGGGACCACCAACCACTCTTCGGAAGGAAGATTGGGTAATCTACTTCCCTCATGATACCGCCTCAGAAACCAAAGGAGGGATCTCTATGAGTCGGATCTGACTCGACTGCAGTGAGTTTTTTCTTGGAGGGGGATGGGGAGTGTGGTGACAATACCTGTCTAAAGATGTGGAACATCTATATTATGCAACCTGCAGCCTGGAGCTGCTTTCATTATTCTAGAACATTCTTCCATCAGTTTAAAAAGTGGTGATATTGCTGTGTGTGTGAAATCCCATGTGAATGGTGTTTGATGTTTATTTCCAGCAAGTGATAATGTTTGGAGTCTTTTCCTGAGCTCAGTGACATCACGTGAGGAAATGTTCTTGGACCTTCGTTGGTAGCATATGCCTTACTCCTGGGTCATACGCAGACACCTGAGAGTCCATGGTTGTCATCACGCACAGGTAGTGGTGTTAGTCCTCTGGACCACTGCTGTTTCGAAGGACGGACTTTTCCTAATATCCTCCAAGAAGTATCTTAGGTTTATAAAACATTTGTAAATGAAAGACAATTTCAATCAGCACAGCAAAAGTTTAGTTGGAGTGTCTGGGAAATGTAACATATCTCAATGAAGATAAATTAAAACCAACAGCCTGGATTAAATTTATTTCCCCTTTAATATGTTAGGGTGTCAAAGTAGATTTGTTTCTATCTTAAACTTTGAAGGTCTCTTTCTCTAACGCACATGCACACACACACACACGTAGATTCATAGTATTTTTAGTCCCAGGTGCCAAGCTGAACATAACTTCTTAGGTGTGAATATTAACATTATGTTAATATGATGTAGAAAATGTAGTTGACAACACAAAAAATATAGAGTACTTGGAGTGTGTATGTATGTTGTTGTTGTTAGGTGTGTTGAGTGGGCTCCGACTCATAGCGGCCCTGTGCACAGCAGAAAGAAACACTTCCCAGTCCTGTGCCAGCCTCACGATCCCTGCCATACCTGAGCTCATCACTGCAGCCACTGGGTCAATCCATCTCACTGAGGGCCTTCCCCTTTTCCAGTGACCCTCCACTTTGTTGTTGTTGTTGTTGTTGTTAAGTGCCATCAGGTCATTTCCGACTCATAGCGACCTCATGCACAGCAGAACGAAACACTGCCCGATCCCGTGCCAGCCCCACAATCCCTGCTACACTTGAGCCCATCATCGCAGCCACCATGTCAATCCATCTCGTTGAAGGTCTCCCCCTCTTTCGTCGACCCTCCACCCTACCAAGCATGACATCCTTCTCCAGGGAATGGTCCCTTCTTACAACATGACCAAAATAGGTGAGACGAAGTCTGGCCATTCTTGCTTCCAAGGAGCATCCTGGCTACACTTCCTCCAGGACAGATCTGTTAGTTCTTTTAGCAGTCCACGGTACTTTCAGCATTCTTCGCCAGCACCACAACTCAAAAGCATCAACTCTTCTTCGGTCTTCCTTACTCATTGTCCAGCTCTCACATGCATACCAGGCGATTGGAAATATCATGGCTTGTGTCAGGCGCACCTTAGTCCTCAAGGACATATCCTTGCTCCTCAGCACTTGAAACAGTTCCTTCGCAGTTGACTTTCCCAATGCTACACGTCGTCTAATGTCCTGACTGCTGCTTCCGTTGGCATCGATTGTAGAACCAAGCAACCTGAATTCTTTGACAACCTCAATCTTCTCTCCATGTATTTGTGATGCTGCTCATTGGTCCAGTTGTGAGGATTTTTGTTTTCTTTATATTGAGACGTAATCCATACTGCAGACTGTATTCTTCAACCTTCATCAGTAGGTGCCTTAAGTCATCCTTACTTTCAGCAAGCAAAGTTGTATCGTCTGCATATCTCAGGTTGTTAATGATTCTTCCTCCAATCCTGATACCACGTTTTTCTTCACATAGTCCAGCCTCTTGGATTATTTGCTCAGCATATAGATTGAGTAAGTGTGGAGAAAGAATACAACCCTGACGCACTCCCTTCTTGATTTTAAACCATGTAGTGTCCCCTTGTTCTGTTCGAAGGACAGCCTCCTGGTCAAGGTACAGATTCCTCATGAGTACAATCAAGTGCTTAGGAATTCCCATTCTTCTCCCTCCACTTTACCAACCATAATATCTTTCTCCAGGGAATGGTCCTTTCTAACAACATGACCAAAGTACATGCTCTGTGATATCATGGGTGCTGAACTTAGAAAGCTAATGCTTAAGACAGAACTGATTTGTTGTTGTTGTTGTTATGTGCCGTGGAGTCAGACCTGACTCATAGCAACCCCTCCTTGGGTTTCCAAGGCAGGCAGTATCACTACAGAAGTAGATTGCCCAACCTTCCTTCTGAGGAGTGGCTGGTGGGTTTGAAACGGGAGCCTTCTGGTTAGCAGTCAAGTGCCTTAGGCACTATGCTACCAGAGCTCCTGATTGATCTTTACTAATCATAAAAGGAAGGAAGGTTGGTCAACCTACCCAATCTATCACCTTGGAAACCCAAGGAGGGATCGTATGAGTCGGGGTCTGACTCGATGGCACATAACAACAACACAACAACAATCGTAAAAGGAACTCTGGTGGTTCAGTGATTAAGACATTCAGCTGCTGACCAGAAAGCTCTTAATTCAAACCCACCAGACTCTCCGAGGGAGAAACATGAGGCAGTCTGCTTCGGTAAAGATTGACACCCTTAGAAACCCTGTGGGGCACTGCTACTCGGTCCCATAGGGTCTCTGTGGGTCGGAATCAACTGGATGGCTGTGGATTTTTTTGGGGGAAGGGTTTAACTGAAAAAGAAACATGCACTTACTATATCTTGCCAGTAGTGTGCAGTGCAGACTTGATAATGTTACTTAGTCCTCTCTGCAGCGTTTAGGTACAAGGTATTTTGAAAAAAAGTCACATTTTGAAATGGTTTGTAAAACAATATGCACATTTTTAAATGTTTAATGCTTTCTATACAAAGATGATTTTTTTTTGGTAGCAAATGGAAATATGGTTAACGAAATTTTATAGGTGAGAAAAAAATGTACAATGTAAATTGGGTTCATATTTTTATGCACACACATGTATATACATATATATATAAATACACGCATAATGCTTTTAATAGATAACATGCTAACAGGGTTTCAGGACAGAGGATACCTCCAAGTTGTAGAAAATGTGTCCCTTTATTTAAACTGTTGAGTAAATGTTTTATTTAGATGAACTACAAAGCTGGATGTCTCTAATAAATGATAATAAGTGAATATTTTATTATAGATTATGAACTATTGTTATAAGCAGAGATTAAGATAAAGCATTGAATTATTTATGTGGGATTTAAAACCTCTTTCCACTTCCTAACAAGGAATTTGTCTTCATTGAGCCTTTTTTTGGAGAAATGTAGTATGCACATACATTTAAATTATTTTTTTATAAAATATAGTAAGTTTGGGGAGTTCTGGTGGTCTCTATGAGTCAGAATTGACTGGATGGCAGTGGATTTTTTCGGGGGGGGGCGGAAACTGAAAAAGAAACATGAAGTTACTGTATCTTGCCAGTAGTGGTGTAGTGCCTAAGGCACTTGACTGCTAACCAGGAGGCTGACAGTTCAAACCCACCAGCCACTCCTCGGAAGGAAGATTGGGCAATCTACTTCGGTAGAGATACCTCCTCAGAAACTCAAGGAGCGGTCACTATGAGTCCAATTGACTTGTTGGCAGTGAGTTTGGTTTGGTTTTATGATAAGTTTGAAAACATTTAAAAATTAAACAAATAAGAATACTAAGTTAGGTATGATTACTAATATATAATTGGCTTGTCTCTTTTATAATGGATTATAACAGAATTTTATGCTCTATTTAGAAGTGGAATGAAAAGTAATTATAAGAGCAAGATATATAAATCCCACTTTAGTTGATTGACAGTGAGGGGGGAAAAAAAACAACTAGTGTCATGATGCATTATTTGAAATTTCACATGAATTTTCCTTTCTTTATTCTCCTTTTCAAAAATTCTGATAATTCAACTTGGCCTTGACTGTAAATCTGTTTCTCTAAAAGGTTTTGAAGACAACTGTAATTCTTTTTTAGATGCATGAAACTGTTAAAAGCAAGCACATGCCTGGATGAGAAACACTGATAGAAAGATTAGCAATTTTTAGAGTTGAAAACAGATGTGCTTAATACACCAAGATTTTAAAAAATATGTTTGAAAGTCTGGTACACACTTTAGAGGAAAATTATTCTTAAGCCACTAGCATTTAGAACAGAGAAAATAGAAGA